CTTAAATAAATGACAGGACTCAGTGACCTTCACTTTGATTGCCAGGCTTATAGAATCTTCACTGTTACCAAGGAGTCCTGTCACATAAAACACTTGGCAAAGGGCTGACATGGATTGCGTATTATCAGAATGGCAAAAATAGCAAGTCTGAAGATAGTTGTTGCCATTCACACATATTGAACATTGACCAGGAAAATCTCCAAGATGTTGGCGGTAGGGTTGTAAGCAGTCAGATTAATGTATGAAGAAAACTGAACAGTCCTTAATCTGTGTGGGCATTACATCCATTTGTAGGATGTATTTGGTGACTTGGTACAGGTTTCTATGTTTTGTGTGGCTTGTTGAAGATGCGATGACCGGGATGAATGAGTGAACAGCTGGGTGAGGCAGGGGACGGCATTATGAAGTTGGGGGATATATTATAGATGAAACAGATGACCCTAAGGAGGTAATGAGGGGGTGGACTAAAGAATGACAAATGGGAGAAGGGAAAATATTGAATTCATCTTAGGGCAACTATATCATCCTTTGAAGAATAATCCAAAACACATTCCAGACATTAATTGTGAAATTCCTGAAAAATGTGGGTGTGCTTAACATCTCCCAGGCTATGGTGCAAGCAGAGATGATAGTGTTGCTTCAGCCTGTAAATACAAGAGGGTGGGAGGTGGTAAAATGAGTGGAAGGGAAATCTGTTTAGTGAAGCGGGTTCCTGTAACACTGTGTTCCGTATGGCACGTTTGGTATCAGGATTTTGGAGACACCCCAGTAAAGCTCATTTAATTATTTGAGGGAGAAACAGTAGACTAGCTGAGCATGCATGAATAACACATTGAAAGCTTTCCTTCTCAGAGGTCTAATTCTGCGAAGCTGCATTTTCAAAGATCTGACTTGCCTTTGCATGGAAATCAGCCACTCATTCATTGGTCTTCTATGCTGTACAAGGCCTTCTGCTGGGGTGAAGGGGAAACTGGGGAGCCCAGGGACCTCTCAGACGTATCCTTTGCTCTGTATGCTCTTAAGATAAGAAAGACAGCAAGACTGCAAAAAGTCTATATAATAATGTAAATTCAAGCCAAGTAAAAGTGATTTTGCAAGTGTGTGTATGATTAATTGGCTAGTGAAATATATGGATAAAATTAGTTGTAGGAATCAGAGCATCTGAAGTGATCTCTTCAGGCTCTGGTGGCAAAGCAGAAAAGGGGAATTTGAATTTGAACTAGGTTTAGAAGTATGAGTAGCAGCCCTTTCTTTTGGCGGGGGAGGTGATCCTGCCCATTATCCTTAGAGCCTGTGCAATTTGTCTCAGAGTGTTTCTCAACATCTAAGAATGAAGCTACATTCTTAATGCTTTAGTAGCTGTGCTTCAAAATGGCAAGTTTCCTTTTGAGAGTGATTTTTCTCTTTGTTCTAGCTTGTTTCACTAGTTGGATAAGCGTGGGCAGTAAACTGGGAGGTGTCCCTTTATCAGCACCTCTCAGCTTCACCCACCCTGCTGCTTGCCCTGGGCAGTAGCCTGGTCACATCTTTGAAAACCTCTGTTTACTCAAGACCTCCTAAGTCAAGACACAGGAATGGTTGAATATACCTCTCTGTGAGAATACCCTCAAGGTAAACACTAAACTCTCAGGTGTTTTATCTTGGGCCCACATGAAAAAAATAAATGTTTTTAAATAACCTATTTTCCTTTGTTGTAAAGTGAACAGGTATCAATTCCTTACCTCCCTCCTCCAGCCCCAGTTAATTCCCCGCGTGAAAATACCTATATGTTGACAGAAAAGTGTAATGTTCAGGAACTTGGGGCCGGCTGGCTGTGGTGGCTCATGCCTGTAATCCCAGCACTTTGGAGGGCTGAGGCAGGTGGATCACCTGAGGTCAGGAGTTCAAGACCAGCCTGGCCAACATGGTGAAACCCTGTCTCTACTAAGAATACAAAAAAATTAGCTGGGCGTGATGATGGGCCCCTGTAATCCCAGCTACTGGGGAGGCTGAGGTGGGAGAATTGCTTGAACCCAGGAGGCAGAGGCTGCAGTGAGCTGAAATCGCACCACTGCACTCCAGCCTGGGCAACAAAGCGAGACCTTATCTCAAAAAAATAAATAATTTTTTTAAAAAGTGGAACTTGGTTTCTGGGGTCAAATCTGCATTCTGCTTCTGTGTGTCTCAGTTTTCTCATCTGTGTAGTCAGGTTAATAATAGGGTTGCTAGGACTCAGTGCATCCCTAAGAAGCAGTTAAAGGAATGACTGACACATGGAACATGCTTCCTAACAAGGCTCCTAACCAGTATAAGTGAAACAATTTTACGTGGGTTCAGTCTCTTGTTCTACTTGATCTTCATCTACCTCAGTCATTAATCGTAAGCAGTTAAGGAGGTTGGGCTCTTAGAAAGAGAGCAAATTGTTACTGAGTTCAGCAGTTGTCACTGTCCCAGCCCCCACCCCCATGAGTATTTTTTTATACCTTGTCTAAATAATTTCTACAAAGTTTGTATGTTTTGAGTAATGCTTTAGGTCAGATACTATTTTGCATTGATTTGTAGGAATTATAAATGTAACCATTTGTCTGGGAGCAAATAATTAAAAATATTTACTTTGGGGAGGAGGTAGAGGACCTAGATGTACTATAATCAGCAATGTGCACTTTGCTTCACATTATATTCTGGGAGGAAATTTTGCTCCTAGCTCCTGAGTGTGCACCCTGATGACCACTGCAGGATTTGGCCTGGCTTGAGCAAAGAAACAGCTTGTACTGACACAGCTTGACGCCATGGGGGCTGTGGTTCCAACCTGCTGCTGCAGTTGGTATAAACGAGGCAAAACCAGAGGTCAGAGGATTATCCATTCCTCTGTTCTTTTTCTAGCTTACCTGTTTTCCTGCCATTCTTCTGCCTGCAAGTATTTACTGAGCATCAGCTATGGGTCTTGTCGCTGTGCTATGCAGTAGTGACACCACTTGTGTAAGCCAGTTTTCCTGTTAGTTGTCGGGACCTCCTAGGTTTGCTGTGGGGGTTAAATGAGATACAACTGTGCTTCTAAAATTTTAGTGTGCACACAAATCACCTGAGTATTTAAAAATGCAAGTTCTGATTAAGTTAGTCTAGGGTAATGCCTGTGATTCTACATTTCTAACAAATTCCTGGCTGATGCCAGTGTCACTGGTGCCAGGACCACACTTTAAGTAGAAAAAAGCTAGTACCTATGTATACAGCGTGTATCACAGAGTATGGCATATTAAAAGACCTGATAAATGTTACCTGCTATTATAGTCATTATTTTTCAGCCAAAATAAGATATGGGCCTTGTTTTCACACAGGCCATGGTCTGATGGTAAATTGGAAAAACAGACAATTCATTACAATCCAGTTCAGTAAGCCATGAGATACGAAGTGTCAAGCATGTCAAGAGCAAGTAAGAGGAACTGTCACCCAAATCTGACTACCAGGAAAAGTTTAGTGGAGGATGCAGCAACAAGTAAGACCTGAGGGTCTCCTCCCCTCCCTCCTTTTTCCTGCACTTCTTGTGCAGGATGTTTTAGGAAAAAGAAAATAGGGCTTGGGGCTAGGCAAACCTGCGTTGAAATCTTAACTCTGTTATTTTTTTGATTGTGAGATCAGCTTGTTTAGTTTCTCTGAGCTTCAGTTTCCTTGTCTGTGAAACTGGAATATTAATAGCTTTCTGTTAGGTAAATATTGTAGTGAGGATTAGAGATTTATATATATGATTACATAGATGTATATATAAAATTATATATGTGTGTATGTATAGTGTGTGTGTATACACTAGTTTCTGGTACCAGATAGATTTTTAAAAATACTATTAATTTTAATTTCTATTCTATTTTCTGTCCTTTCTCATTTTCCCCTATGTTAGGTTTCTCTGTAAGTTTAAAAATTTACTTTGTGGACACACATCTCTTCAAAGGGGTGGGGATTTCAAGGGGGAATTCGAATGTCAGATGTTTGTCAAAGAGAAAAGAACCGTGAAGTACTAAGAACAGGGGGCTGGGAGTACAGGGTCTGCAGACCAAGGAAACATGCACTGGTTTGATCCCATGCAACTACAGTTCCCAGCGCCTTTGGCATTTCAGCAGAATGTGAACACTTGCTTGATTTTGTGCTTTGAGCCCCTACATCCAAAGAGCTATTTCAAATTAATATTTATTCTAAAAATGGCCTTTTTTTATATATATACTTTAAGTTCTAGGGTACATGTGCATAACGTGCAGATTTGTTACATATGTATACTTGTGCCATGTTGGTGTGTTGCACCCATCAACTCATCATTTACATCAGGTATAACTCCCAATGTAGTCCCTCCCCCCCCCCCCCCCCCCATAATTGGTCCCAGTGTGTGATGTTCCCCTTCCCAAGTCCAATGGCATATGGTTTTATAACAGTGAATTAAGTTTCATTTTATTGTTAGAACTTTCTGAGGATTTCTGGACATTACTGGAGACGTTGGAGACCCCAAGGATATAGCCAGGCCAGGTTGATATATCTCACTGAGGTTACAGAAGGAAACAGCAGCAAGCCTAGCCGGTTCAGAGATCGCTGTGGGCTTGGGAATGAGCAGAAGAGGGTGTGAGGGCCAGAGGCCATCTGTGTTGCTTTTCTCTCTCCCAGTCATTCTAGCCATCTTTGATGTGCACTAATACTTCAGGTTGGCCGTGGATTTGCACTGTCTCTAGGAAGTCTTTGTGATATAGTATAGTGTGGAGTAGGGCGAACACCTAGAATCAAATAATGTTACTATATCTTTAGTTCTTAGTGTAGGTATGGTCCCATTTTAGGAGAACAGAACTGTGTATTCCTTTTTTTTTTTTTTTTTTTTTTTTTTTGAGACAGTCTCACTCTGTCGCCAGGCTGGAGTGCAGTGGCGCGATCTCAGCTCACTGCAACCTCTGACTCCCTGGTTCAAGCGATTCTCCTGCCTCAGCCTCCTGAGTAGCTGGGATTACAGGCATGTGCCACCATGCCAAACTACTTTATGTATTTTTAGTAGAGACGAGGTTTCACCATGTTGGCCAGGATGGTCTCCTGACCTTGTGATCTGCCCACCTCGGCCTCCCAAAGTGGGATTACAGGCGTGAGCCACCGCACCTGGCTCAGAACTACATTTCCTTAACTGTGACTCTTTCCTTTGTGACTGAAAATAAGTATCATTTTTATCCAGTAAATGTTGGCTGAGAATTCGTAAGGTATATGCTTTAAATTGGCTGTTGTAGAACAGGGAGAGAGAACTTGATGAAGAGAAAAATCCTTGGAATCAGTGGTTTATGACTTTTTTTTTTCCTTTTTGATGACTGAACCTTATTATCGCATAGTAGAAATTGGATTTTCTTCCAGAAACTTCTTTAGTACCTCTCATTTGTAGCACTTTTATCAAGAGTGCTAGTATTCAGACATGTAACCTACAAACAAAATGAGAAAGACGTCAGAATAACATCATAATTCAGACTATCCTGAGAACATTTATCTTCTGAATATTTTAAGAAAGAAAATTAAGTGTTAATTATATTGTAGGGTGTTGTCATTTTATACTTCAAGTTCCTGAGAAGAGAATTTGAACAGTTTGCTATTTGGAAATTTTAGCAACCAGCTACCTTGCCTGTGGAACGTTTAAAAAAAAAGGAGAGGGAGTAGATGGTGGTCCATAGGCTGTAACTAGAAACTTTGCCTGTCTTATTTAGCATTTCAAAACAAAAACCATAAACAAACATCTCAGATTCAAAACGGAAAGGAATTTCTGGCAGGGCAGAATGAAATCTGAGACTGCAGAGTCCCAGTCTACAAGAGGTAACTTATTTAGCTTCTTATCCAAAGGCCACAGCAAAACGTTTCACAGCTGTGATTAAACAAAAGGCATCTTTTGTTGGAGAATTGTGATACTTCTTTTTAAGACTGCAAAAGACCTGCCAAAATAAGGCAAAGCTACCTTGAGGATGTTTGACCTGAACTAGACTTTATGAAGTAGTTGGACCACTTCGGGCCTTATGGTGTGAGGAATGTGGGATGCATAGGCTTGGACCCCTCTGTGTGTGTGTTTATAAGTGAGTAGAGATAGAATATTCCATCGTGTTATCAAATGCAGATCTTGAGAACCTTTTCTCACTTCCCATAGTTGGGAGCTTTGCTTTTTTTGAAAAGTACGGGCTTTTACAGTCTGAGTGAGGAAAAGGGATGGATTTTAGACAATTTTATCTCTGAAAGTCAAAGTAGAAGGATTTTTAAACAGTTGGAGACAGAATGGGTATACTGTGTGCTTTTCAGAACCACTGAGTTCCTGTATTTCAGGCAGATTTTAAGATTTACTACCACTACCTATCACATAAAAATGAAAGACCAAATAAATTTCTGTATTTTAATCAAGAGTGTGACTGTATTTGTGTATATCCTAGCTCATTTCAGAAAGGGTTTGAGGCTGCCCAGAAAGGTAAATATTACAGAATTCTTGTATGTGATAACATGATGGAGAAAAAAAACAGCCATGACTTTTGAATCCCCTTCATCCCTTAATAGCCCAGTGACTTAAATAAAACCCCTCAACTTCCCTTGGCATCACTTTGCCGTAATTTGTCAAAAGGGAATTAAATAGTTACCTACCTGAAGACAGGGGAACTGAATCAGATGATATCTTAAGGTCCTACTGGTCATAAGATCTATGTTTTTATGACCTAGAAGTGATAGACAGGAGTCAAGTATTACCTTGTGTTTGCAGAGCCAGGGAAGGAAAAAGTGGTAGTGTCTACATGACTGCCAGGTGCTGTAGACAGAAGGGCTTAGAGGAAAAGATCAAGAGTTCCTCCATGGTTATGTTTATCAAGCAGCAGTGGAGACAGCAAAGCATAGTGTTGGGAAGTTAGTGACAGCTTTTAAATGCCTGAAGTCTTTTAAATCATATTCACTGTGGCCTAGTCTGGATTCAGGGTAGAATTCAAACCTCTCTTATGCCTTCGCTGCCTTCCCTTTCTCCATTTTCTTATGTACCTCATGAATTATTAAGACTATGAGGTAGGTAGGTGACAGAGACTGCAAAGGGAGAAGCTAGAGGGAAGACAGGCCAAAACTTGCCCATATTCACATGCGCATTTCTGCCTCTGACACTAGGAGAGAGTTGAGTAATTGCTGTTCTTCCTAATACTGCAGGCAGCAGCCAAATTCTCCACATTCTTTTACCTTTGCTGCTGTTTTCACTTGCCAGGGAGTTTCCTTAAGGAGCAGACTGAATTTAAAGAAACATAGCAGTAATAGTGCATGAAAGGGGGGGGGGGGGTCACTGGCCAAACGTGGCATGTTGGTGCCTCACGTTGGGAGGATGAAAGGATGATTCCTGCAGAGGGACATGCTGCACACTGCGCAAGCTCCCTCACCTTTGTGTACGGCTGAGCCACTGACCAGGAAGCTCTTTGCTTGTATGTGAGACAGCAAATATTCACTAAATATGTTTCAAGTACAAGCCAACTGTGAAGCTTGGAAAGTTGTCCAGAAACTTCACCCTTCCTTTGCATGTTGTCCAGCGGCAGGGCATTGAGCGAGGTTAGGTAGTATGAACCTGTGGCTCTAAAACTTAAAGTAATAGGCATTATTCGAAAGAATATGATGCCCAGCAGGGCTTCCAGTGTATATTAGCAGTCAGCTTGCTTGCCTTGTGGTTATCACATTTTTTGCCAAGAGCAGCCTTTCAGAATGAGGTACTAGTTAATTCCCATTGGGCATTTATTCATTAATAAGTCTGCTGAATGTGAAATATTCCATTTGGGAGTATGTGATATGAGAAAACTCAGCGGCTAATTATTACATAGCTCTCTTCCATGATTCTCACTTTCAGTGCAATTACCTAAACCACCAATTCCTAGCTATGTAAACTTACATACTTTTTAGTTTTCTATAATGTTTTGCTTTTTTTTTTTCACTCCAATCTGTGAAATTGTTAAAGGTTTACTAATACCTGAGTAAACATTTTATGTTACACTATGGCTTCCTCTTTCTTTCCGTTTTAAAAAGATAGTATCAAAAGTTAAATCCCGTTCCAGATCTTACCCGTCTCTCTTCCAGGCTAGATTTCTGGGATGGGGTGGTGTTAATTTACTAACCTGAGCTTTTGACCAAGCTAGGGTCTCCTTTACTCTTCTTTTGGTATGTAAATAGGTCTTTATTTGCTTTTCTTCCAGGTTGGTTGGTGCATATTAGCTTAAGAACTTTTAAACCTTTGTGGCCGTAATGAGAATCTGCATGCCAGGGTTCCAGCATTTCTCTACAAAGCAGCCCGTGAATGCATGTGTGTTTGCTGTAGTGAGGGGTCTATGTTAGAAGGTCAGTTAGAGACCCCACTTGCCCACACCTGTGTGCTGTGGTTCGGCCCTCCTCCTCTGATGGATCCCTACCACAGCCCAGTGCCTGCTGGATCTCAAGTGTCCTGAAAGCCATTGGAAAGATGCTTTCCAGCAATCTTAACATTTGCCTCCATGTTCTTCCTAGCAAGGATGGGTGCACACAGCTTTCCAGCTACTGGTCAACCAGCCATTGGCAGAAGGTGCTGCAAGAGTCAATTCCTCTTTGAGGATCCCTTCCTATAACAGTGTCTGCACTAACCACAAAAAGTTCTGTGGAAATGTTTGCAGGGGGAGCTTTTGACCTGCAAATATTTCTTCAGAACTTTTTGCCATATGAGAACCTATGAAATGTTTTATGTAATATAAGTTGGAAATGTTGCCATATAGGAACATTCGAGAAGATGATAAATGTGAGAAAAGTGATAAAAGTTTATACAACGAGGATCTGTACAAGGTTGTGGTAGATTTGCTGACCTAAAAAGATGTACCCAGGGTAGTAAACTGTTTCTGTAGTGTCAGCCACTGGGCCCCTGAGTGGGAATACTCTTTGAGAGACAGGAAGCTAATTCCTTCTTTGAATGTGTAGTTAACTTTGTGCCATTGGATGTAGGGTGTGCGCGTGCATGTATGTTTTTTCAGTTGCTGAAGGCACAACACAAAGAATACTGTGCATTGTATTATAGATGTGCTAGAAACAACGCCCCAGCTTGAAGCAAGTTGACTGTAGTATCTACTCTGTAGATCAGCAAACTGAAAATGACTTCTTAATAAAAGGCTGCACATTGTTTTACTTCTTGCATTTGAAAAAACAGTTCTAATTAAGATGCTTTGGGTTTTAAACTGCCTGTTAATTGGGATATCTGTAAGTAGGCAAGTAGAGCTTCTGAATATTGCTGACTTCTTTCTTGGTGATTGGGACAAAAGTGGTTTTTTTGGATTTCTTTTTTTTTTTTTTTTGGTTTTTTGTTGTTGTTGTTTTTTTAATAGTAGGCCATCATTAAACAGTTTTGACCTTACGCAGAAACTTTAGATGTGACAGCAGAAGGAAACAGCGGAAATTTAGAGTGAGAAATGGAAGACCTCTGTAGGGAAATAAGTAAAATAAAAGAAGCTAGAGGTGTTTTTTGTTGGCAGTAGATGAAATTATTTTGAAACACTGCCCTGGGAAAAGGTGAGCCCTCAGCAACCAAGTTTATTGACTATCTATTCAGGAAATTGTATTAGATGCTTTGGAAAAAGAAAGGAAAAGAAAAGACTTTCTGCCAACTGAGGGCTGGAAAACTTGAGGGAGATAAAGTGTTTACATGCTTTAATAACATAAAGCATGTCCAAAAGAAATACATAATTACAGCTGTGTTTGGCACTGAAAATAATCCAGGTATTATATTTTTTAAATTGTGTGTGAATATGTAAGCGAATGCCCTTGAGTCAGAAATGCTTGGGCGATAATATTTCTTGAGAGAATGGAAAAGTAGATGGTATTAGGAGCTAGAAAGAGAGAGAAGGGATAAAGGATGACCACTAATTAAGAAGGAACAGTGATCTTTTTTTCTTTAGAGGGGACATATTTCAAATGCATAGTTATTCCACCTCTACCTCTTTTTTTTTTTTTTTTTTTTTTTTTTTGAGACGGAGTCTCGCTCTGTCGCCCAGGCTGGAGTGCAGTGGCCGGATCTCAGCTCACTGCAAGCTCCAATCTTAGTATAATAAGCATTTAACTTCCCATAGGAAGTCTGCATGTTATTACTAAAAGCCCACAGGTAAGGGAAAATTAGACCCCTAAAGACCTGACCATCTTGCTCCTAAAGTTTTAGGTTTTCCAACTTTATTTCCAGTTTATCTTGGACAAAGACCCTTTGAGAGCTCAGAAAAGTAGGAGATGTGGTCAACACATTCTTCTTAATATCTAGTGCAACCAAAGACTTGGTAAGGCCAGCAACTGGAAAATGGGCGTGGTGTCGGGTTTCAGACTCTCCCATAGTTGTCTTCACGTCCTTTAAAATGTGTTTGCATCCCTCAAGCCCTACCACTTTATGCTCTTTCCTTTGTGAAGCCTTCCTGTCCTGCCCAGGAAAAAGTAATGCCATCCCCCATCCCCCAGTGACCGTAAATAGCACTTTCTCCTTCCCCTGTTATAGCACTTTTCATACTGTGTTAGAGTTCACATTTCTGTCTCTCTGCCTCATTGTGATCTATTTGAGTGCCAGGATTGTGTGTTATTCTAGTGCTTGGCACACAGGAAGAACTCAATGAGCATTTGTTGACTAAATCTAGAGTCAAGGTCATCCAAGATATTATACAAAAACTGTTTCATCGAATCGTTTGGTCTGCACTGTGGAAACTGAAACGAATGGCACTCCCCATTAAGAGAATCCCAGTGAGAAGCCGTAGCATTGCAGGTGAAGCTCAAACTGGTTAACTTTGCTCATGCCCATCAGTCTTAGAATTTTTTGTGGTGTTTCCATGATGAGTTAGTTTCAGCTGTATTTTTTTGGTGAATATTTAAAGATAATTTTTATTTGTGTGGGCTTTTCTTCTTGTCAGTTTGTCATAAAGGTGTCATCTTTCATTCACTAAGCCCTCATCAGCTTGTAAGAATTTTCCTTGTGGGTGGTTGCTTGTAACCTTCTCTTGACTGCCAGGGATCTGATGTACTAAACAGTTGAAATACTGTGGTGATCAACTGCTTGTAAACAATAACTGATAAATTGGTTATAAATTACTTTATCAACACACTTCAGATGACCATATCATCATGACTTGGTGATGGCAAAATAGACTTCTGGATTCTCAGCAAATCCAGGAATGTGTCTTAATAAACATTTATGTTGATTAATCAGGAGGGTGTTTGCTTTAAGAAACATATATTGAATGTTCAATATGTGAGTGCCAAGTGCAGTATGATGCAACCTGTTTACCGCTTCAGGTGATCTTCAGATATCCTAAGGAATTTTTAACTGTACAGCTTCTTTGGGGAAGGAAATCCGAAGCCAACAACTTGAGGGTGGAAGTGTGTGACTGTGAATAATTAAAATGCCTCACAATAGTTCGAGCAGGAATTCCATAGGAATGCACTTTAAGGCATTTAGGAAAGCAAAATTCCGTTTGGATTTACTCCAAACCCTATGACTTCAGAGACAGGAATTTTTGATGACTAGTGGCTGGAGCCCCAACTTGTTAGTTAGGAATTCCACATTCAGTGTGGAATTGTTTTTTCTGTAGCACTAGTTATAAGTTCTTTGTTTGTTTTTCTAAAGGTTTTAAGGAGGTTTACAAATTAAGATGGAATAAGACATTAGAAACTTAAGGATACAGAGCAAATTAAAACCTTGATACATTTGGTGCTAAACTTTTCAACTGCTAAAGATAGAGAGTTTTGGCCAAGATAAAATATAGAGAGAGTCAAAGACACATGCAGAATTCTCTTGGATATAAGCTCAGGTACCTGTGCCATTTTATCACTTTAGTCAATGTGCCCATTTTCTTAGGCCAGGTTTAATTTTCTGCTGCAGCATGGCCTTTCAGCTTTCCCGAGTTTACAATGCCCATCTCATACCACATGGAAATTGTTGATAATGTTAGTGTATGGTTGGTGGCTTTCCCAGTATCCCACTTCAGATCCTTTTATTGATCATCACCAGTTACAAAAGTTTTAGGAAAGGGAAGGAGAGAAGCTGGAACTGATGGCTAAGTACAGTTAATAGCTGTAGAGCTCTGGTTGTCCATCATGAACAGTGGCAATGAACAGTGAAGATTTAAGCAGGGTTATTTTTTGAGGGTCCGCTGATTTTCCTATAACTCTTTAAAAATATTTTTAAAACTTTTATATGGCTTCGTTACTATTGAAAGCTTAAAAATCTGTTCCTAGACTTTCTGGGCAGGTATGTTCTCTTTTGAGTGTTGCCTTCTCTAAGACTTTATCAGCAGCAGGAGTATTTGAGCCAATGGCAAATGCTGCCAGAATGAGAAGTGTGTGTGTTTCTCAAAACTCGTGATCTCACAGTTAAATCGAGGGTGTAGGTAAAGGACCCAGAACTGTTCTTGCGGGTGGAATAGCACACTTATCCTCAGACTTTAGTAGAGTCAATGAATGGAGGCTGAGGACTGGGGAACACTCTTGAAGGAGGGAGTGCCCATCAGCCGGTAAGCCAAAGTAAACAGTTCTTGTAACTGAAAAATAGACTTCCTGGAAGGAGAGAACCGGAGAAGTGGGTGTGAAGTGCAACCAGCAAGTACCGTTTTCAGTGATACAGACAACTGGGTTAACCTGAGTCCTGACAAGAACCTCTCAGAGCTATTTGGGGAAATCAGTTGCTTGAACCAGCCTTTGACTGGCCTGTCGTGCCTACAGCTGTACCTAAAGATGGCACTTGGGGAGAAAAGGTCACGTTTGTGATAGAGAAAGCAAACCGATGGGGCATTTTGAGAGGTAGAAATGAAGTCATCAGTAGTGGAGCCGGTGGACCAGCGGAATGGCCATATGGGAAGGTATCCCTGAGCCTGTATGTATGGAAATGCAGGCATCCTTCTCTGTCAGTCTTTTGTCACAGTGAGAAAACGTCATTACAGTGGACAGCTGTGCACACGTTGGAGATTAGGTGATGTGTGCACATACTGGTGCATGTGCATCCATGTATACAACATGCACACCTGCAAAAAGGATGGCTCACAGGGTCATGTGCATGTCCTGATAGTCTATTATGTCCGTTCTTCTATGAAAGGAGTATGTTTTTCTAACTGAAGCTGTTAGGTTCTGTTAATTCCAACAGAAAAAAAAAAAAAAAAAAAAAATCTGCCTCTGGCCATCATTTGTTAATTTACATAGATTGGATACTTGTTGTCGGTCTCCTAAGTGGCTTACATAAAGCTGTGGGCGTCTTTTCCTGTGTCTTCTCTTCTGCAGTTCCTAAGGTACCTACCAGGTTTATATTGCTGATGTCCTACCCATGCTGTGTGTCAAGAAAGGTAGACTATCAAGAAGTATCGATGCAGATATTCCTTAGAAGTTTTCATGCCCAAAGATTCTCAGAGCTTAGTTGCATGAGGAAAGGGGCCTTGCCTTGTAAAAAGAGACAGAAACCCCTTGTTAAAGGGGTCACTCAGAAAAAGGTATTATCTAAATTCCCTCTTGGTAGTTTTATTTCTTGAATGTATTCCCCATCACTAGCTATGTGTGCTGGAGCCAATTGTTGGACCCACGGCCATCCTTCAAAGAATACTACTCTAAAGGGAACATAACTTTACTAGACAGTTTGGGAAATAGAAGAAACAATTATCTAAAATGCTCTTGTTCCAAACACAAAAACTAGCTTCATGTTTTTATATATAACCCTGCGTAGTCTTACTCTGTAGACATCCTTTTTCCCCCTACACATCTTGTGTCATGTTTTTTTTCCCCCACCTAACATCTATCAAATACATTGTCCTATGTTGCTACCTTGTCTTCATTATTATGATTTGTCAAGTAATTGGGTTGTACTGACTGCAGTGTTACTCCTCATTTCCTTTCCCCTTTTCTTTTCCATACTACTTAAAAAGTAAGAAAGGAAAAAAAAATTCTGTCGAAGAGAAAATTCTTGTGTAGTTGTAGTGGAATTTATTTTCCTGAGTGCCTGGGCGTGCTCCAGATAGCTGTGATTGTGTCATCTCTTTCTTACTAAGCATCTGACCACTCACCACCTGTGCATCTGATCCCTGTAGGCTCATGGCATGAGGGCTGTGGCTCTTGATGTTTTTGTTTGATGTACTTAGTGTCACCAGAACTGCATTGACTCTTAAGAGTATGGAAGCTTTGTAAAGTTAACTAACGATTTGTAGGTTTTGTGCAAGTAGCCAGCTCTCTAGGTAGAGACATTTTAATTCTGTTGCTTTTTTTTTTTGGGGTAGCATTATTATTGGAATGCAAATGTTTGCTTAGTATGAAAAATTGATATAATTAACTAAGTTCTAAATGGGGACTAGATATTAACTTCAAAATGAATTTGTAACTTGTATGCTTTGCATATGCCATATGCTGTTGTTTCCAAGGATTAAAAGCAGTTTTCCACTTCCACCATCTTATAAATTAAAACCAAAGGCGTAGATGTTATCCAACAAGGCACCTACAAAATTTGAAAAAAACTCTCTGTCATTATCAGGATTAAGTTTGTTGAAATTCTATCAGGAAAATAGACTTTTTCTCGTATTATTGTTATTATTGACCCATATAATGCAACTCATACTGGTTTCATGTTCAGAAGGTATATAGTATCTGTTGTAATATTTCAGATTAATTTCTGCAATCTTTGTTTAAAAATACAAATCCTCAAAACAAATTGTATAAACAGTATACAAAATCAAATCACCAGGCTTCAAATATATTTTATATAAACATTAAGTGCTCTTTGGATTAGCAAAAGGAAGACAAACATTTTGATTACCTCTTTAATACTCAATTTTTGTTTCTGAATTACTAATCTTTGAAGATATAATTAGTGTGGGATACATACCAATCAACATAGTCCAGAAAACACTGAACCTTGGAAAGAGTACCTATTTAGAGTACCTTAGTACTTTCTAAGCCACAGTATGTGGCTAAGTGATTAATATGCACTATTACACTTTCATAAATACTTTTCAGACAAACATTGACTTAAGGGAGCATACTTTGTACTGAAAAACTAATTCGAAGGTGAAATCACATCACATTTAACAGTTTAACCTTGTGTATTTGTAGAATTTTAGTTAGATCATAGGATAATGACATTAGCTAAAGTCAGCAAGCATGTAAAATAAACATTTTGAAGTTTAATCGTTATTTATGTTCTACAATAAGAAGTATATGGCGCCTACCATAACCACCACTACCAAAATGTGTATGCTGAAATTGTGTCTCCAGGATAAATAAAGAGGTGTAAGGCAAGCTGACATCCATTAGAAAAAAGGTTTAGAAAGGGAGAGAGGGCCTGGACTTTCCTAAGCTTCACCCCAACATAGGGCCTACAGCTCCTATTGGAACCAATTTGTAAAACTTCAAGGTGGGAATCAATAGATAGTCTCCAGTATTATATAGTTCCTCTTTAATCAGTTGATCTTTCTTATCAACCAAAGCTTCAGGTGGTTTTTATTTTTATTTATTGCCAAAAGCTTCTTACCAATGTGATTAGAAATGTTTAAATTCATTTATAATGAAATGGATTTGTATCTTCCTTGCTCGACAGTAGATAGTGAAGCCTCCGTGACCTGTGTAAGCTGCAGGTTGAGGCGAATGTGTAAACAGTAGGCGAGCGTTCATACAGTGTCCCTGGACTGCATTTCCTTGCTTACAGAGCCTCGGAGCTGGGCCAGCTCGCATGAGCGGGAGGAGGAGAGGCTCAGTTTTGAGAGCCCTGGGTTTATTTCTGGCTGTAGGGATATGGAATGTGGGAGAAGGTGTAAATATGGTTTGAGGGAGGTCGTAGACTTGGAGGTGCTTGCCAGGGGTAAATGCTGGATGGATTTGTTTATGGATGGATTTGATTATAGCTGCTTCACACTTTTACCTCTGGAGTTGGTGTTTCCAAGGAATGATGCTCATTGTCTGGATCTCCTTTAGTGGGTATCTCAGAATTCTTTGCTGCACCAACCACAACAGTTCTCTTCCCTTTCTTTTGGTGTTTGTATTCAAATGCCTGACATCCTGACCTACTGTGAGGGATTTTTAAAATACTGAACACCAAGCTTCTTGGGAAAAGACAGGTATGTAAATACTACAAGCGTGTAGCATTTGGGGGATGGAGTTGTGGGATTTTGGAGTTTGTGACCCCCATGTGTCTGTGCATCACTCTCTCTAATGTAGAGAGACAGAACAGCAGTTCCTCAGCCCTGTCTTTTGTCTCTTCATGGGTTTGTCACTGATTTCCCCTTTCAGGGTCTGAATCCCTTTCCCTTGCCTCCCCCCATGTGGGTTCCGGAAGGCCCACATGCAACAGCTGCCCTTGGTCAACCCCCAGCCCTGCACACAGGTGTTTTCTGCTGTTTGGAGCTCAGGGGCACTGTCTAGCTAGCTGATGACAGCTCACTGGTGGCACTAGTCTCACTCCAGTGCTGGCTCTGCCCCTTTGGCCCTGTTGCTTCCTCCTTGGAGGATGAGTCACCCCAGTTTTGGGGCATGTTACCCCCCTGTATGACTAGCACACATTGCATCTACTTGCCAAGGAGTGTTAGGCATACAGTCTCAACCTTTCCAGTAGAAATGACTTCCTCTGAAATTTAGATGATAAATTCCATAGGGAGAAATCGTGTTTTATTAATGAGAGACAAAATTGTGTACTAGTGGGAGTTCAGGCTCAGAAGCCAGTGCATAGTCCAGCCTGGAGACTTGCATGGTGTGTTACCCTGGCCAACCGCTCCCCAACCTCTGTTCATGATTTCCATCTGTAAAATGGGAATAGCAATAGTATCCATTTATTTTGGGTGGTTATGAGGAATACTTAATTCATTCATGTAAAGCACTTGAATAGTGTCTTGTATACAGTAAGCACACAGTTAATGTACATTGTCATTGTATCTTTGTACCTCAACATCTAACACGATGGTTTATACATAGCACATACTCATTAATGTTTTGTTGAGTAAATGTAATATTCAGAAGGTGGGAAAGTGATTTCCTCTTCTCTTACCATAAACTAAGAGTAATATTTGGTTGAAATAAAGCATCATAGGCCTGAAGACATTTACTCCCTAGCTGCTGGCAGGGGAGTAGAATGTTCCAAATTCTATGTTGATAACTGGGTGCCTGTGATTTGTTAGTCATACCTAACAAACTCAGTCTCTCAGGTGTTTCAGTGATATTTACTGGCTCCCAAGGTAATTTTGAAAGGCCAAAGCCATCAAGTGATTTGTTTTCAGTAAGCATTATTATTGGGATATTTCAGACTCCAACATGTGCAGTGGACATATTAACGAGAATTCACCCTTTCTAAACTTAGGGGCTTACTCTGCATTACAACTTATGTTTGCTTTTAAGGTGATGGATGGATAGATAGATGCTCTATAATTGAATAGCCTACTGGGCTTCTGTGTAGTCTATTCTAGCACAGCACTGTGTAAGTAGCAGGTGTTCAGTTAATGTATTTTAAATCAATGAGTAATTGATGGGATATTTTTCTTCACATTACATCACATTGAAGGTGTTTGTGAGGAAGTTTTGTTCATGATTTTCCTCCTAGGCAAGCGTCACCTAACATGTTTCTCTCTAGCTGTGGGGTATTGAATTTGAGGCTGCTCTCAGCATTATTGCTCATCTCAAAGAGGAACAAATGGTCCCCCAAATGGTCCATATGCGACAGTGGGGGAAGGAGTGCCACCACTCATTTTGAGGTGCCTGGGCCATACTCTGGATGAAGCACACAGCTCTTAACAGAAGGAGGTAAGTCATTTTTTTTTTAAGTGAAGAAAGTTAATTAAAAAGTTTATGCTGATGCCATTTCAGATGGCAAAGACTAAAGGGTATATGTCTTTGTGATCTCTTGATGGGGACTGCTATCCTAAAAATAAGAGATTTTGATCCAGAGATTGGATTGTTCCTGGTGTGGCAACAGTCCTCTGACCTCAGTCATTTTCAAAGTCTAATGTCTTTTTGGCTAACAAAAGACATCAAGCTAGAGATTCAAATTTGCAGAAGACAGTTTTGTTTTTTGTTTTTTTGTTTTTTGTTTTGTTGTTTTTTTTGAGATGGAGTCTCACTCTGTCGCCCAGGCTGGAGTGCAAGTGATCATATCTACAAAGGTGACAAGAACATGAACCTGAAGTCCTGTTATCAGCATTTTATAAGTGCTTCTTTTCATTCTGAAAATATTTATTGATTTTAAAAATGAATTCTGTAACAGGATAGCAACAGTAGTAAAATCCTTTTTTTGGAGAAATTTAGAGCTTTCAGCTAACATACACACATACTCATTCAAACAAAACAGCTTGTCTTGTTTTAAAGAAATACTTCCGTTGTCCATTGTACAAATTTTAATAACTTTTCTTTCCTTTTTTTAGGTCTCTGTGTTTCAGATTTTTGTAACTGTGAAATCCCTGCCTTGTATTCAACTTGAAATAAATTTATCAGTGCAAATGAGTACACTGTGGTTCTTGTGTGGAAAAATTATGCAGGTGGTTTGAAGGATTCATCATTTTATTAAAAGACTAGAAGAATGTACAAATGCTTTCCTTCTTTCTCATGTTTTTCTCACCCAAACTGAAGTGGTCCATTTAAAATGTGATCTTCATAAAAGGAAGAGCTGTCAGAGGACATCTGATTTATGAGCCATCTGATTTGCTTCTGCTGTAGTTCTGCTTCTGCTGGGGTATGAAAATCAGGCACTTTTATTTCAGCCCTGACAACAGTACAGCCTTCCCAAAGTATAAGAAGTGTAGCACGCAGAGGTAATATGCAGTCTTCTGAACAGAGCACTGAACTGGTTTTTAATGAAGGGTAGTATGTACTTGGGGTTCAAACTCTAGTTAATTCCAGAAAACATATTCTCTCACTAGTGTTGGGTCTTAGTAAATGAGTATTCTGTGTTGAATCCTTGCTTGAGAGGAAAGAGGTCATAATTGGTCAGGGATTCTATTTCTTTTTTTTTTTAGAAAAGCAATTGCTTAGAATGAAATGAATCTGTATCAGGGTATCTTTTTGTAGGATCATATTAATCATCTTACCCACAAACTTACTCTGTGGTCAAACTTTAGTCATAAGGATTTATTAAAAGCAATGATTTGGTTTAAAAAAAGAAAAAATATGTGTATGGGAGGAATGTAGACATTTAGTTGAAGTACAGTTGATAGACTTTGACCACTCAGGGATATTTTCTTCATGGACTGTCTTACAGAGGCAGAACCTAACCGCACATGCTTCTTATGACTCTGATGCATGAATGGCAGCCCTAAGTGGGCTCCTCTTCACTTATTCCTTCTCCCCAATCTCTCCAGCACTGTTTTCCATTTCCTTCCCTTCCAGAGTCTGCGCTTATCAGTCCGGTACTCCTGTCCTCAGAGTGCCAGGCCAGCCAGGCCAGCTCCACATCCTCCTCCACAAGACCAAGCTGAAGTCTGCCGGTTCATCTGTTGATGTTACACAGTTTGAGCTCAAGCTCCTTATTCCTTGCCGGCTTCCCTTTTTTGAGTTCCACTGGAGTGGTACTCTTGTGTCAGAGGGATTCAGCACTGCCCACTGTGTCATGGCACTCTAAGCTGCTCCCCTTGGGTTCAGATGAGGCCAGAGTTGTCCAGTCCCATCATGCTGCAGCCCTAAGCTCCAGAGGGTGACCTGGATCGGATGCGCATCCTGGAGCTTAATTTCATAAGCCTTGGGGGCCTGCAAGCAGGAGGATTTGGAAACCCTTGAGAGGCCAGGTCCTGTGGGTTTGAGCCCAGACTCTACAGAGTTAAAACCTACAGGACAAATAAATCAAAAGAAGGACATAAAGAACGTTTGGGAGACACTGAGTCTGCAAGGCAAATAAATCCAGTATTGCAAGGGGAGGATTTTGTTTTGGGAGGTTGAAGTTTTGTTTGCCCTCCGAATGAAGGTGGTATTTCTATTCGTTAGCCAAAAAGACATCAGACTTTGAAAATAACTGAGATCAGAGCACTGTTGCCACACCAGGAATCAGAACTGTGGCATTGGAAGTTTCTTCAGAAAAGCACCTTTAGGCCAGCCTAATTTTACAGATTAAGGAACTGAGACCCATAAAAGTTTGTCATGTTCTCTTATTTAAAAAAAAAATTTCGACCATGTGTGCGGTTATGGCCTCTCTTTCCTGCCTAACCCAAAGAGGTCAAGGAGCTTTCTCTTGCCCACTCTGGAGGGAACTCCTGGGGTCCCCCGCTGCTCTCCCTGCCCCATGACTTTGTCCCAGAATACATAACAGTGGGCTGGATCAGCCTCTGCTGAACTTTTCCCTGCCAGCCTCCCTGCCCGCCTTCTTGCCCCCGCCCCTACCCCCCACACAGGAATCTAGAGCCCTCCCAGTGATGGTGTGAAGCCACTGGAATGTGGCATTCTGACCCCTGGCAGTTGAGTGTCCTGGATGGACCTGGCCTGGGAAACAGGAAGGACTCGGGGGAGGGGGAAGGAGTGCCCCATGGCCTTGAGGTGGGATGGAGGGAAAGGAAATGCTGCCCAGTGCGGCCCCACAGGCAGCTCCCGCTAGACTCCCACGCTGGGGGCGGGGCTGGCAGGGCAGGGAGCCGGTAGGTTTCCTCAGACCAGGCCTGTGGCCGGGGACCTCTGGCAGAGCCAAGCTCAGGAAGGTGAGCTGCCAGAGCAGTTGGGGTGAAGAGGAAAGGATGTGAGGGGAAGGAGGAGGAGCAGGCCAGAATGCAGAGGAAATTGTAGTAGGAGAGGACAAAGGTGATGGATGAGAGAAGGAATGTCCAGTAACTGTGTGAACTAGATGCACTTCTCACTTCAGAAACCAAGTATGTTAGCAGGAAAGACCCTCCTAAAGAAAATTCCAGCCAGGTGCAGTGGCTCGTGCCTGTAATCCCAGCTACTCAGGAGACTGAGGTGGGAGAATTGCCTGAACCCAGGAGGCAGAGGTTGCAGTGAGCCTAGATTGCGCCACTGCACTCCAGCCTGTATGATAGAGTGAGACTCCATCTCAAAAAAAACCTTCTGTGCCATTTTTATTTTAGAGTAAAGCACACCCCGTTTGGAAACCCCAGTGCTTTTTAACATGCTCAGCTTTGGCAAAGATAGAGTCACTGGGGTTAGTGAAAGGGGTGGGTGCACATGCAAGTGTGAGGCCAACTGTTACTCACCTGTCCCTTTCTGTTTTCTGTCATTGGTGGACCCACCTGGACCATGCTTGGGTCTGTTACCTCCCTCGAAGAGGTTTTCAGAAAAACCTGAGGACAAGCCTCAGGGTGATGATATGCCCAGCAGCTCCTTGCTCCTCTCCAGGGTTAGGGAACTTTGTATCCTCAGCTTCCTCCCAATTAAAGCCTTTGGCAGAATCAGGATGCAGAACCAGGGCCTGGAACCGCCTCAGCAAACCCTTGTGGAACCACTAGCAGGTCATTGCTGTTTCCAAACTGCGCGTGTTGGCAAGCTAGCTTTTCGTTGGGGATGTTTAAAATTAAATTCCATGCTCGTGGGGAAGGAATAGAAACTATAGGCAGAGTCTGTTTCTGAAACACCTGTTTTAAGTGGAGAGCGATCCTAACTGCTGCCATACCTGAAGGGCTTGTGTTTTCTGTGCAGCTGGAATCTCTCTGTGCTGAGTAAATTAACTTCTGTGCCCAGGGTAGTCTTGAATGATAATTAGTGCTCCGTGGCCATGCCGCACATCCTGTCTGAAGCAAGGGTGGTAATGTCCTTTCCTCTCTTCTCACAGGACATTATATGAAATCATAGGAATAGCGGCCCTGGTGCTAAGTAGAAATATCATGGTTATGGCACTAATTTATTGGGCCTACCAGCCCAGGTGTGCAGCACCCCTTTCCTTCAGCCGGTTGATAAGAAAGACACCAGGTGAGGCCCATTGTGATGCTGCAGGCAGTGTTGCAGCTACGTCGGCCTGTGTCTCCCGGCTTAAGGGGTGCATCTTTTGGTCTGCCTTGAGAACCTCCAGTCTTCCATAAATTGGAAGTTCAAAACAATGGAATTAACAATGGAAAGAACAAGCACGTACACATAAGTTTAAAGCTGTGCATCTCTGTATATTCTAATCCTTTGAAACTTGGTGATCATTATTGTTCGTTACATAGGATATGGATTTGATCAAAGCATCCTTTGGGAATTATCTGCGTTTGGTATTTCTTTTTATATCCTAAAAACTGTTAGAGGTATTTCCACAAATTGTGAGCTTTGTCATTTGGATATTTTTTTTGAGACTTCTTTTCCACTCTAAACGCCAACTTTAAATAGAATAACATGACAGAATCATGGTCTTGAAAAATCCACATACTTAACTGCATATGGGAATACATATTGCTGTAGCATATGGAAAAAGGACTGAGTGATGCATACCTGTTTTATTTACATTTTCTTTTGGAAGCAAGTTATTTTCTACATGTGTATGTTTATACCTATGTGTGTTCTAATTTGAAATGTAGAAATCTGTAAAAAATTTTTCGTTAACTTTGACACTGCTGTGTTTTAAAATATCTGAAAGTTACCTGTTTCCTAGTCCTTGGAAGGCTTGAATTATTATAAAGTTTATTTATTTGCATCTCAGCCATTCCCAAAAGATTTTAAATGTGAATGCAGAAGTAGCAAATAAACAAACCTGAAACTTTGATACCTACAGAACATTTTTAGAGCTGCTTCTTTTTTTCCATGCAGTGTTGTTAGTAGAGAATAGTATTAGTTACCTCATAGAGCAGTCACTTACTCAGGTTTACCGTTCATTTACTTCAGCAAGTGGATATTGGGGCCTGCTGTGTGTTCAGCACAGAGTGAGTGTAGAAAAGAGAGAAGCAGTTTCTGCTCCCAAGAAGCTCAGCAATGCCTTAGAATAAGGGAAGTTCTGGGGGTGGGTGTGCCAGAAAGAGAGAGGGATGGGTGGGAAAAAATTGAAAATCAGACTTCTTTGAAGAAAAGATATTTAAGCAGGGCACAGTACGGTAGTAGCACCTTTCTAGGTAGACAGGAGGAAATAAAACTGTTCCTAAGCAGAGCAGTGGGATCCGTAAAGGCCCATTGGAGTGAACGTGCATAGCATACTCAGGAAATCAGCTGATTGAGTAAATATTTATGGAGGCTCTACTATGTGCTGAGCCCTCTTCCAGGTGCAGAAGATACAGCAGTGAACAAGACAAAAATTCCTACCAACTGGAGCTTTCTGATAGAATCAGCCAAATTGGTAAGGAAAAGATACAGCATACAAGAGGAGAGAAGTGCTATGGAGAACAATAAAGCTGAGAAAGGGGACAGAGGCGGCCACAGTAGTGTCTTGTTTGCAGTTTTAATGGTCTGGCAAAGTCTTGCTGGAAGTTGAGTTTGATTGAAGACCTGAAGGTGTGCTGGAGTGAACCATGCGCGCACCTGGAGTAGGATGTTCCAGAGAGAGGGAACACAAGTGCCAAAGCCTTGAGGCCGCAGTAGCTGGGGAGGGGAAGAGCAGATGTCTGCACAGTGGGAGGTAACTGGAAGGTCAGCTAGGGCTAGGCAAAGGCCTAATTTATCAGTGTGAGGACTTGACCCTGTGGTCAGGAGAGTGCCATCATAGATTTATAGATACGGCTTGTGCTGTCATCTCTGGGACCTCCGAAGTGAGGACCCAGTGACTTAGAGCTGGGTGTCTGTTAGGTATAGAGGTAAGATGCTACACAAAGGAAATTCCAGTTTTGTAAGAAATGTGTAAATATGTTTTTCAAACATGTTCTTAAGACTTTTTAATGTTTCTGTGTTCTTGTTATAGTTGTCTAGTTTATTTCCCATGAATGTTAGGGATCAGATCGCTGCTGTGTAAATCATAGTCCACCCAAGGTGTTCATATTCATTTCTTGGTATGGCCTAAGGCAAGAGTCCTGCTTTTCATTGTCCCCTAATTTATATTTGCTTCTTTCTGAAGAGTTTTAAAATGGATTTCAAGGACTTGATGCCTTTAAAATCAGTGGATCAGTTCCTGTGAGGTTTCTTAATAGGCCACAGTTGTCTCTCTGATTCTTATTTCTAATTTATAGCACTATTGTCCACCTAAACATGCATTAACCGTGTGGATCTTAATGATGTTTTAAGAAAAAAGGTTTTGACATACATGCCAGACTTTCACTTAAGATGAAACTGGGCAACTAGGAAATGGTATGCCGTATGTATGAAGCAACGTTCATTGAATATTGCTGGCAAATTTAGTTTTGTTGCTGGGATGACCAGATTCTTGGACTGTGTAGTAGGAATAAATAAAACCAAACAGAATCTTGTTTCACCAAAAAAAAAAAAAAAAAAAAACAAAGGTTTGGGTTTTTAGGCAAGATATTTAGGGAAGATATTTCTTTGTAGACCAGTATTAGAGTTAATGGCAAGGATTAGTAATATAATTGTTGGAATTTATATCACTCTTTCATTTATCTTCCACTTGGTTTATTTTGAAGACTTCAGATAAATTATTAAGGTAAAGTACACAGCAGTGCTGAAGTTGATTTGTAAAAATATCCCTTGCAAAAATGATTGCTTGCTGATTTCACAAAGTTATTATCCTGAAAAGATTCCTTATTGCTACTTCCAGATCATTACACCTTTTAAAAACTATTATTTGCTTTTCAGGAGTATTGCTGTATAGGAAGGTCTTAGCAAAGAACCTCTGTTTTCCTGGATGATAGATTAGTTGACATCATGTTTCTATTGGTGGGTTTTCTGTTCTGGTGGCTCCAGAGGTGCTTCTGCAACTCTGTTTGTCTTGGCTGCAAGGTGTCATAGAGGGGCCTCTGCTTGTCCTTGTGGTTCAGGGACCATCAGCAGGGGTCTCCAGGCCATATTACTGGAGATGGACCTCACCAGAGTGAGATAGGAGAATTAGTGGTGTTCCTGCCTTTCTTTTCCCTGATGCTCAGGTCTTCTAGATTGACATGAACTTGAAATTTTGCCCAGCCTTTGACTACCTCACTTTCCTGTTTCTTCAGCCCCTCATGTCCGCTGCTGGGTGACAGCCTATATGGGATTCAGACCTAGGTTACTCAGCTTCCCTCCTTAGTAAAACTGATTAATCCGTGGAGAGTGCTTATTCCAGTCTCTGGCACATAGAAAGTGCTCTGTGAGTGTTAGCCGTTATCAGATTAGTCTTAGAGGGTGAAATGTGCTTTATTATCTGTGCTACCTCTTCACCTAGTATAATGAAAAATGTGTATCCTTCAAAGTGCTTATTTTCAGAGCACCATATTTAATTGTTAGAAGGTCTGGTCACATTTCTTTTCACTCTAGTGGTTCATACTTTTGGATGTGTGCAATTCCCATACCTAGTCTTCTGGTTTCCTCTTGGTGATTTGACTAACAGATTTTAGGTTAGAGCATCCATTAATATTTATAAAATGGTACTGTGCATTATTCATGTCCTCAAGTCACATTCTGGCAAGAAGCATTAACGTGTGTCACATTATCTAATTATTGTCATAATATACAGAAGTGGCAGAAAGGGAGATTAAAAGTTTATTATTTAAGTTATTATTTATTTAACATGGTTGAGGCATATTCATTCACTCATTCGACATGCCATAAATATTGATTTGTGGAAGTGTTGCTTAATATAGTATTGAGGTTAAAAGAAAACTTGAATTAACATTAATATTTCACAAGTAGGAAGACTGAGATCCAAAGATGTTTCTCTGTTATTTCTAAATAATTGACTTTTCTTCCTCTACCAACAAAGTTACTTTCCAGAAAAAGTTTGCCGCTCAAAGATTCACATTGCTTTGATTAAATTCATGTGCTTGTCCTCCCTATCCCTAATTATTCCTTCTGCAGGTATTTATTTTGCTAAGCTACTATTTGCTAAGCCATATGATAGTTCAGTGATGAAGAGTAAAAAGTAGATCCTTAGTTTCAAAGAACCCACTTCTGGTAAAGGAGATTAGATGAACAATTTCATCGTGCTGCTGTAAGTGAAGTAATTTTAATAGATATGCAGTAGAAGTCCTACATTGGAAATCATATTTAATTCAGTCCCTATAGAGTGGGGAAATCTAAAGAAAGTATTAACCACTGAGGAGGAGTTTCCAGTGCAGATGAAGAGAAGTAACTTTCTAGTTAGAGAGAACAGCCATGAATGTCATGAAACAACATGGGAAATTCATGCAATTCATAGTCACTCTTACTGGAGGAAGAGGGAGGCATGGCAGAGATGAGGTTGAAGAAGTTTGTTGGGATCAAGTCTAAACTGGCTTTGCGTTGTTCCATGCCAGGGACTCAAATGACTGCATGTTGGACTTCATTTTGTAGACCATTGCTTTGCAACTCCATAGCCTTAAGAAGTTTGATTGAGCTGTTCCCTTAACACCCCTTGCTGGGTGTTATTTACTTTAAAGCACCTCCGTAGGAGGATAAAACACTCTGAACCAGGTATGTAAGAGACAGCTAATGACCTGGCTTAATCCAAGGATGCCTTTTTTAGAGTATCCTGATGAAGAGATCAAATAGGGAATAATTAGACATTTCTCCTACTTTTTTCCTCAACCAAGATTTATTGATTTTTAAGTAAGAGTGTGTTTGATAACTGAAAATTGATATCCTTTGAAGCTGGATAAACATGCAGTTACATTTTTTTATTGGACATTCAAGTTCAGAGACAGCTGCATTGCTTAATCATGGCCTGTGCCTGAATAGAAGGCTGATCGAGCACAGCACAAACATGAACCAGGGGAGAAGACCTGAGATTTTCCTTGGAAACTTGGATTTTACTCTTAAAGCAGAGGGAATGTAAGAGAGTGAAGTTCTGTGCCACAGAGTGCAGTCAGACTAACTGCAGCTAGGAAAACATGTAAATGTGCATTAAATACCTACCTTGGTTATTCAAAAAATTTCAGAAATGGAGCCATTCAGTGTCTAACTTTGAGTAACTTCCTGATAAAACCTCAAAAGAGAAAGTGATTGAAAAAATATACATCGAAGTATCTGGATGAGTTAACATGCTCTGTGATACTATTCATCAAAAGCCATTTATAAGATGTCTTAATAATCTTTCTTAAGTACCAGTTTTTTAATTTTGTTAACTGTTTTTGTTCCTTTTATTTTCTCCGTAGATTTATTATTTCCATCCTCCTTGATTCTTTGAACTTGCTATGTTGCTCTTTCTTGGAGTTGGATGCTTAGTTCATTCTTTTTTTTTTTTCACCTGCCTTATGCCCTGTGAAATTTCCCTTTAAACACTGTCTTAACTGTGTCCCCATCAATGTTGACATATGGTGCTTCCATTGTTCTTCATTTTTAAGTATTTGGTAAGTTTCCTATAAACCCCTCACTTTAAAAAATCTTTTTATTATAGAAACTTCCAAATACATACGGAAGTAGAGACAGTTGCGTCATGACAGAGTGCTTCAACAATTGTCAGTTCATAGCCAATCCTGTTTAAATGAGGAGATTTACTGAGACCTCAGCTAGTGAATCCTCTAAGATGAAGATACTGGAAAGGTCCTGGAAAGTGATATTCATTACATTAAAAGACCTTTGGCTTGCCTTACTCTGCATAGTGACTTTGTTTTCAAAACGAAGTCAAATTGGTCTGATAATGGAACATTATTTTAAATTTAAATTATGACTGCCATAGGCATGTGATTCTCTGGCACTGTTCCCAATAAATTGTTAGCATTGTACAATTTCAATAAAGATGCTAGAATCAAACATCAGGATAAAGTCTAGAGGGGCCTCATGAATTATCCATTCCACGTCCTTTTTGTAATTAAAAAATTGGAGCTTAGAGAGCTAAATGCCTTATTCAGGGTCCTGCTGTGAATGAGTGACAGAGCTCAGGTTGTGGTCTCCTGGGCCAGGGCCCTCTCCATTACACCATCCCCCACTGGGTTGTTTCTCCGTGTACAGTTTAAGATGGCTCCTAGGTTAAGCAGCACTGTGAAGTAGGAGAGTTGTGTCCTGTAGCCCCAGTTTCTCCCGTCCTTATTTCTTGTTTCACGAAACATGAAACTGGTGCTTCTCTGTTAGTTGTATTGCCGAGGTGTATGATGAAAAGTGTAGCAAAGGGACATATGCTTATTAACAAATATTTTGCTGTAAGTTGATTTAGCATATTGGATCAGTGCTGCTTGTTTTTCAGTGAATTCCTCACTTGGACATAATACAAATCAGTGTTCTTGTTTGTTATACGTTTAGATGTTTGCATCAGTTTAAGAGTTAGTCTTCAACGAAAAATTGCGTCCACACTTTAGTATTCCATTGTTTGAAAGATTCAGGCTTTGTCCACTCTGGTTTATAGTTACATATGCTTAAAATTGTTTCACTTTGTAGAAATGTCTGTAAAATACATTTTTGTAACATGAATCATTTCTACTGATAACTATAAATTTGCCCTTCCTGCTTTGCACTGATTACAGCACAAGGAAGAGAAGGAGAAGGAAGCGCCAGCTTTGGGTACATAGGCCTTAAGCTTGAAGCAGAGAGAATGAAAGCAGACTGTATTCGATTCCTCCTCGAGCAGAACTGAATGCCTGATAACAGCCAGCCAGGAGCTGGGGGAGTTAAGAGCAGCAATTTTACATTACACTGGAGTTTCTAGGCTGGCATGAAAAGAGATGCCAGTATTAGCTATTTGCATCTTCCTGTAGCCACAGGGATATGTGAACAGCTGGAGAATTAATTTGATATATATTCCCAGAAGCTTCTCTTCTGCCAACAGAATTCCATTACTGTGAGCTTCTGAGTATGTACTGTGAATTTGTTTCTTGCTTTTTAATATCTGCTATAGCATATTTCTGGTGAGTGGATTGCCATATAATGGGGTGCAGCCATCTCTTGGTTTGGAGTAAACTCTATTAACCTAAACAGATACTAGGTGGAAATGGTAAGAATCTGAGTATACAAATGCTTTCCACCTTCAGGATGGCAGAAATTTCATATGAACACACAATACTTTGTCCAGTAAGTGCACTCATACCTGAAATGTTTTTTTCCATGTTAGTGGAATTTCAGACACCAGCAAGCAGATGGAAAGATATGTTGAAGGGCATAGAGGTTGAATCCAGGACCACTCAAAGCTGGTGTTGCCACAGCTGGTTCCTGTAGCTCCTTAGCACAGGGGTTCTGTATCCCCTGGAGCTGCCGCTTCACAAATCTTGTGTTGGTTATGCCTCCATACCTCTTGTAAGAGGCCTCCTCCTTCGTATCCTTCTCAGTGCCCACTTTCCTGCCCTCAGGATGGAAACTTCTCTCCAACTAGCCTTTGCGTTGAAAATCTTTCATATCAAATGTAGAAGGAAAGAATTTCGGGCATCACCGAGAATATTGAAAGAT